CTCATGAACAAAATTCACATTTTTTTTGTTTCATGTTTTCTCATACAATCCGCCACTCTGAGGAATGAGGCACAACTTTTAAATAGCCCTTCGGTACGCGTCTCCATTTCCTCCTCCCCCCCCCCCCCCTTTCATTTTGATGGCCTTTCTAAATGGTCCCACCACCTCATGATTATTAAATATATCCAGTCTATTAATTTCCCATTAAATGCAAACCCGCCTGAATCGAAGTCCACACACCGCCGACCCCGACTGCATATACTCTGATCTATTATCGCAGATTTAATATCTAGGGTTGTCGCTAGGTACCAATGAAGAGCGTGCAACTCCGCTAGTGTTGTATCAATATTAACTGACGATGCCGTTACCATTTCTCTCTGCACCCCCCCCCCCCCTTCATCCTGTAGTTTTGTTTTATTTTGCAGATCCAATCTTTCAATCGCGCTCGGAACAAGAGACGCAGAGATCAGGCCACTCTGAAGTTTATTAATATTTTGGGCTTTGATATTACGTTTCAATAAAAATGAAGAATTTTTGTCATATTATCAGGGTGTTTTGCAGGGCCCTGTTCATACATCAAAAAATGGCAAGATCGTAACTTTTTGATAAATTACATGTAACTGCTTTTCTATTTTATTATTGGACTTGGAAAGGGGGGGGTTATTCGTTAGGTGTTCTCTTTTTACAGACTTCCATGTTGTTATCCCAAAGGTTTCATTTCTCAGCCATTTTTTGTTGTCAACCTGTTAAGGTTTCCTGAATATAATTCAGTCCACTCGGTGTTATTTTTAGACCCTGCACAGAAATGAATATAAATACCAATTACCAAGAGAATGCACGGTCCAGAGACTGGGGTACCATAAAAGTCCTCAGGTTCCTTTTTTTTTTTTTTTATTTAGCTTATTTCAAACTGATCAGTGACAAAAACCACCATTTCCCTTTTTCCTTTCAAATTCAACCTCAAATAAAGAAAGAGAGAAAGAAAGAAAGAAAAACGCCAGAGTTTGAGCCCTTTCACTTCAGAGCCCAAGTTTATCTTTTGACGAGGCGTAATTGTGCACAGAGGTTGTGACTCGGAGAATAAACCCTGGAGTTATATCCCCACCATTGAACGGAGCATAAAAACCTGCCCCAACGCCGACAATGGCTTGTTTTCGTAGTAGCGCGAGCATATCAAAACACGTACGTTTTGGGCCCCTATTGTGTGGGCTTGGGGGCCCACAGGTCTCTGCCTTTGAAAGACTCTATGGAAGGACCAAGGGTAAATCGGATACTTTTTCTTCACCGACCGAGGGAAACTCTTTTTTTTCTTTCTTCAGCTCCCTCAGAGCGCTGAAAAGCCGTTCACCGCTAACCACAAAATCCTCCTGTGAACATGCATAACATACATGCCGATGCCAAGCCATAAAGTCAACACTGGGAACAGGGGAATAAAACCCAGGGAACGTGATGTTTTCCTAGATAGGCAAATCCGTCCTGGTAGTATTAAACTCTTTACTTACATATTTATGAATGAGATTTTTTTTCCCCTCTACTGAGGGGTTTGTGAATTTGACCAAAAAATGCATACATGTGTTTATCTACATGGATATCTATCTGCCCCGTTTGAGTGTAGTTATAGATACAAATGTGTTACATTTTTATTCTCATGTGAACTGTTTTCAAGATTGAACCCTTCACAGACGTCTAGTTGTGTTTCACAGAATGAGAATCTGAAAAGTATTTCACCAGAGAGTGCTTTACCATGTCACGATTACCGACCCACAAGTTACAAATTCCGGCGGCAATAAATGAATACAATGCAATGAAAGCACCCCCCCACACACACACACACACACACAGAAAAATGGCCGCCTCTGGCCTTAGTTTGCATTTCTCATTCAGTCCTGGCTCCATCCACAGCACCCAACCAAAAAAAAAAAAAACAGCCCAGCTAGGAGTATCTCATTAATTCCTTTACCATTGAACCATGTGCTGTTAGCGTACACACACAGCCAGCCTGCAGTCCGGTGTCAGCGTGTGTGCGCTCTCCCCGGTATCCTGCCAATAGCCGGCCATGCTAACCTTGGCCGGTAGACAAGCAGGCTCCACTGGACCATATTAAGCTCATAGGAGGTCAGAAAGCCGCTGCCGTTAACTCTGGCTCCAGAGATCTCCCGAGACCCCGCCGCAAAACAGCTGCCGAGAACTTCCTCTTTATGCTTCAGCCCTGGGGAGAAGGCAGCAATAGAGAGACTAGAGGCGCAAGGCGGCCATTTTTTTTTTATTCTGTGTCTCGGGTTCTCTCCACGGAACATTATTGACTTCTCCCCCCTGTGTTTAGACACACATGCAAATCTGATTGCATAAACATCCACCCTTGTTGGCTGGCGGTGTCGGTGTAGGTAAAAACCACATTGGATGTTGGATACATGTGCTTCAAGCATGTTCAAAATCAAGTCAGTTGGCATAACCTCCCTCCCCCTGTTTTTTTTTTGGTATGAAAGTAGTCAGTTCTGGAACATTGTCAAAATAATTAGGTCATGATTTCTGGTGGTGTTACCATGTGCAGGGCCCAAAATCAGGAGGCAACTTGGCAGATAATATTACAGAGCAAATTTACGAACCGATAAAAATTCACTGAGTACCAGTCACACAAGTGATAAACATTGAATGCTATTTTTTAGCCGGTAACCTTATTTGCTAATCAGACTTTTTTTTTAGCACTAAGCGGATTTCTGCGCTTAGTAGCGCGGCGAAATTGGCTCCAGATGTGCCCCTACTGATGGCAATGAGGCACAAAGTCTTTAGTGACTGCATGCGGAGCGAAAACTCCTGCAGACGTAGGGCATCTAATCAAATGGACGAGGCTTGCCGTAACGAAATGTATCAGCATCTTGTTTTGCATAGAACACAAGTCGAAAGCTCGGTGATGACAAATGTGCCACGATACTAAAGGACGACCCTCTGATCTTCCGAAAATCCCATCCAAAAAAACAACATTATTTTGATGTTTTTCTGAAACGGAAATGGCAAACAAGCTGAGAAATAATCACTAAGGGTATCGTTTTCAGTCGATAAGAAAAATTCTCAGTGACTTGAAAATGAATATTAGGCTTGAAAAAACCACCTTCATCGCTTTTTATTTCCACAAAGAGGAAATTTAAGACCCCTCTAAAGATTGCGCATGTACATGTACACAAGCTTCGATGATTGAGTAGAAACGAGAAGACTGTACAGCAAAAAAAAAAATTCTAGTAATTTATGTTCTCGATCAGTAGGTATCTGTAGATAGGACGGGGCCCTACAGAGGGTGATTTTACTTGTTTTACGTCCTCATGCCAGGCAATTTTTTTGTATATAACTTGCCAGTTGTATTTGTTATGGTATACTTGACAAGGCATGCCTGTGGAAACTGGGTCGTCTAAATATGTACTTTGGGTACCATGTCAAGATCTTGATATGGAGACACAGAGAACATTTTCTGCATGGAAATATATTTTGTCATTTTATATCAAATTTGTAGTGAGTACATGTGAAAGCCGTTAATGTTGTAGGTGTTTATTTTGTCTATCTCTGTACAAACCTCTCTGAATCTGGAATCAAATGAAACTAGCTTTTTATTTATTTATTTACTATTATTTTTTTTAAATAATTGTTAGGATATAGCCTACACTGATGACAAGGGGGGTAGGACAATATGTCCATTGCAAACATGTAATATGATTCTCAAATGTCCACAACATGACTGATTGGCATTACTTGGTGTAATATGCACCTGAGCTCCAGGAACATAATACGCCTTTAAGTCAAGAAATCAAACTTAGCCAAAAAAATAGGTGTCCTTGCATCCCAAACCCTTTTTGCTTCAGAGCCGATTTTTTTTTCCTTTTTCAGGGAACAGTCCCCGATTCCTGCCTTGTTCACTTTGCAGTCAAACACTGCGCAGTGATTAATAGCCCTTTCAGCCTTAGCAAACTCTGGCCTGGAATTGAAATGCCGACTATTTTTCATTTTGGTTCATAACTGTCTCCTTGCTCGCTCAGTCCATCCCACGCTTTTTTTAAGGTTGAAGGCTGCTGGCTGTCTGGCCTGTTTTGTTCCCGCAGTATTTTTTACAGAAGGCCAAAGAGAGGTTTTTTTTTTTCTTCTTAACATTCAAGAGCTTTGCAGTCTGTCTCTACCCTTCATTTGAGAAAAATTGGGGACAGGTGGACAGATCCTGTTTTTCTGTTTTGGTCAGTGGCATTCCTGCGTCTCTCATGTGGTCAAAGAAAACTGGAAAAGAGATTTGGATTTATAAAAATTGAAGGTCACCCATGTCAAGTTTTGGGAGACCTCTTGGGAGATTTATAGTTAGAAAAGAGAACTGAATGGTCAAGAATCTTTGAGGTTCTGTCACAGTTAGGAAAAGACATAGTGATGTCATTAGTGAGCCATTTGAGTATATTGTATCCCTGTGCAAATGGCAGTTCTGCTAGGTTCAGCTAGGTTCTGACAAAACCTGTTGTATCGCAAGATTTCCTAGATTTTGGGGGTCCAAATTCCAGATATATTTCAGTCCATCTTTAAATACTCTCCTTTCTCTGACACCCTGGCTCTCCTTTTTCCCTTTCTTCTCATTAATAATGAATTGAAATTTATTGGTTTATTTTTAAAAATCCCATGTGGGTGGCCTAAGGCAAAATTTCACCCACATGTTTACGTTTAAAACACTTCACGTTATTTGCAAATAGTGATTTTAAGCAACGTAACATTGTCTACAAGTAAAGTACCAGAACGCAAGAAAGACATGTCACAGTGCTTTACCACTGAAATTGATCAGATCAATGAAAAATGTAATTGGATATTTTTTGAAAAGGCAAGTTTTGGCGGATACTGTGACTTCTTTTCGAGTTAGAAGATTTCAACCATGATTAGCCATGAAAAGATGTTCTTGTTTTGCTGTTTTGGGTATGGTTGACTTTGTTCCATGCATTAATTTGTTTGTTTGTTTTTTTTTTCATTTCTCCTCTGTGCAGATGCTCAGGACAGTAGAGGGCAGCCTCACTGGTGTCATATAGCCTATTGGGAGCATCGGTCGCGGGTGGGCCGCATGTACACAGTATTCCTAGATTCTGTAAATATCTTCTATGAACTACCTCATGGAGACGGGTTCTGCCTGCGATCGCTTCACAGAGAAGATCGGTCGGAATCTGTTGTTAGAACTCGAAAGAAGGTCGGCTGCGGGCTGACCATGAGTCGTGAGCCGGACGGCGTGTGGATGTACAACCGGAGCAACTTTGCCTTATTCGTGAACTCCCCGACACTGGACGCCCTGCCCCCTTCTCGGACGCTGACGGTTCACAAGCTCATGCCGGGTTACTCCATCAAGATCTTTGACTTTGCCAAGTCGCAGATGTTGGAGCACGCCCGACGCGAACCGGAGCCCCCGGATGGCCCCGTAGACCCCCACTCTATACGCATTAGCTTCATCAAAGGATGGGGGCCACGCTACTCTCGTCAGTTCATCACCTCGTGCCCATGCTGGCTGGAAGTCATCCTGACCAGACCGCGTTGACACTGTCGGAATCCTGGAGACCTTTTATGTACACTTCTAGATCTAATATAATATTTTATATATTATATATATTATATATTATAATACTGTAAATATGGACTCATTTTTACGATGTAATTTATGGTGCGGTTGTACTCTGCTCTTTGCTATTAACAAACCGAGACGGAAGAAGAAAAATCTCTCTCCAAGAAAAAATCCCTTGTTAGTTAACACGTACCCCTGTTTCTGTACATGTACAGACAGATTAATCTTTTTTATACAAGAAATGATTCACATTACATAACGGACAAGGAACCAAATGGTTATTATCAATAAAACAATTTAATATGCTCACTTGAAATGTTTGTTCCCTCTGCAACTTTATTTTGGAGTAATAATGAAGAAAAATTGGAAACCAGTGTGACAAAACAGTCTGGTGCCTTTTCATACATTCATCAGGTTCATATTTTTGTCAGTGAAAAATATGCGCTGAATTCGGGGTACAAGGCTTATCGAATCAATACCATGGCTGTGTCTGAATCATAGGTGTTTTGGGCTTTTCCTTCTGAATAAGAACTGCTGTAATAATCCATAGTCGGAGATAAAAATTACCTAATTTTATCGGGCCTGTATATTTAAGCTGTGACAGGGCACCAGACCAAGGTCCACACATGTGATTGCTTGAGGACGTTAGGCTATGTTGGAATCACATGACTATAGCAGGCAATATCACATGAGTCTATGGGTATTGGCTGCAGCCGCTAGCCAGTGGCTTCCATAGATGCGTGTGTTATTGTCCGCCATATCCATGTGGTTCGGATACCACTTTGAGGCACTACCCTATTTTGAAGCGTAAGCCTAAAGGTACGGCATTTGAGAGGGTTTGGCTACAATTTGGGTCTTTGCCTACGCTACATCACTGCATCTTGCCATAGCCATAGACTTAATGATGTGAACTTACGCACATAAAAAAGATGGCTGCCCCTTGGTGAGGTCAGTGACCTCAACCAATCAGCATTCAACCAATCAGCATTCAACCATCGGCATTGGTCTACTCTAGGGTCCCGAAGACTCGTCTGGTCTCATCTAGGACCTGGAAAGAAATAAGTTGGCTCACAGATAGGGAAGTAACAGAACTATTCTACATGTCTTATTGGGCATCTTGTCATGTGTGGATAAGGGTGTAGTTAGTGGATTGATTCAATGTGGATGCGTGGATGTGGATAGAAATGGATGACCTGCATGTGGTGTGTGGATTGATGTGTTGAAGTGTGCGCTTAGTGGATCTTTGTATACTTTGTGGATGTGAAAGTGGATGATTAAATATAGTGAGTAGTGGTTGATAAGTGGATTGATGTGGATAGTCCGCTGTGACTAGTGGAGGATGTATACTTGGTGGATATGAAGATAGATAATTGATTCAATGTGCATTTATTAGTTGACAGGTGTGTTCTATGTGGATAAGGCCACACTGTGACTAATTGGTGGATTATACTTGGTGGATATGAAGATGGATAGTTAAAACAAGTAAGCAGAGAGTGCTTGATTGATAGGTGTGTGGATATGGTTGATGTGCAGTTTCTGGATGGATGTAAATGTATACTCGATGGGTATGATCAGAGATGTACAAGTGAAGAAATGAGCATTGAGTAGTATGTGGATTGATGTGTTTTGTGTGGATAATACAGCCAAGCGCCATTTTGTGATTAGTGGATGGATGCAGTCTCATGCAGATAAGGATTGGAGAGAAATTTCTTGACAAAATCTTTAAAAGTCACAATTAATGGCAAGATCCTGCGTTCTTAAACGAGAGCCTCACTTGCCACATCACAAGGAGAACTTCAAAGAGGTTTGCTCTGTGTGACTTGACTGTCATCCATTTGGACGTCTCCTCTCGTCCTTCAGAAAAAAAATAATATCCGGGAGATGAAACTACAATTCTCAATTACTCGACGGAAAAAAGTAATGACACACCGATTTGTGTACTCATCATCATTCTAAGGCTAATTTGTGCACAAAATTAAAAAAGATCAGTCAAGCTTTGGCGTTCTGGCGCAGTAACACTTGTATTAACCAAAAAAATAAAAGCAAGGAGATTCATCATCAGCAGAGATTGACGAGCGATTGCCTGCCGACTCAACCCTCCTCTCGGCCGACGAGCCACGGCGGAGATGGAGCTTCTACCTCGGTCCCAGTGATAAATGAAAACAATAGAAGGCGTAAAAGAAACGCCAAGAAATCAAATCATAAACCATCCGCGGCATTTTTTCCCCTTCTTCTTCAACCGACAATTCTTTCTTTTTTGCCTCTTTCATTGTAAACGGTCCGAAGAATAATGGGCACTGGCTCCAGTGATTCATGCATTTTGCTCGACGCGGCAGCGCTAGAGCGACGTGTAGTCGACCCAGGACTCTAGACATACTGGAGCCGACCAGCCCATGCGTGCACTGATTCCGTTGGTTTGGCACACACCATACAACACACTGACAACGCTGGAGTCAGTGTACAAAAGGTTTCCTAATCCGCTGTTGACTCAATGTCCAGAGGGAGGGAGTTGACATGACGTAACGTCACCGTGGAAGATTGAGCGTAGCCAGCGGGTAGCGGGCCGGCGGCTTTCTGGCCCCGTGTATATACGACGGGATCTGACTTGGGCCGTGGCGGACTCGCCTGATAATACACCAAGATAATTCCATGCATCGGACAGGATTAATCAAATTAATTAGCGATATCTGCCAATTATTGGTTAACTCGTCGGTAGCTTTTGAAGGTAGCCGTTGCTCTTATTTTTAAATAGATCTTTCGCAGGAAACTGCAGAATTCGCCAAACTTTGTTTCATTTTCAAACCGCGGTTTCCTTTTTAGTATTTACTCACGCCACGAGAAAAATGAATTGAAATAGCTGTAATTGGGAAACGAGTTTCTTCCTTTTTCCCAACCATCCTTACAAAAATATGTCACTTTGTCAACCAGTTGGAAAAACATTTAAAAAGTGGCTCCCTTGATGGGCCTTCTCATGAAATCATGCCATTTCTAACGTATTCGATCTTTCCACACAACTCGGACAGCAGGTTGTCAGTCTTTAAAAATAGCGCCCTCTTTTGTCCAGTCATGTCGTGTTCATTTGCCCGGCAAGCGTATGTTCCTTCATCACAGAACAAAAAAGAGAGGGAGTAGGACACGCCCCTTTTCTACCGTCGCCTCGTCAGCAGATTTATGCCATCAGTCAAGATTATGTCAAATTGAGGTAATGTCTCTCCGCACGTGTGCAGTCACTCAAAAAATTCAATGCATACACCATAACTCTGAATTATGTGGTGCAACATCTTGCCTTTTTTAAGTGGATTAAGTCAGGGATTGAATTTTCGTTTGGCTGCGTTTACAAAAAATATATGAATTATTCATGATTTCTTCTCCTCACTGAAGAGTGCAAAACTTCTTTTAATACAATTTCAAAATATTATTGTCTGAACGACGTCTGCAGTCCACACAGTAGCGTCAAATCCAGGACGGCGGCAGATCCAATATTGGACCCCCAAAAAATGTCAATATTATTTTTACCGCATTTCTTAAAATATTAGGTGTGATGCGGCGCTTTTGACTGTGGTACCGCGGGGCCGGCTCTGCATCGACCCGTTGTGGGTTGGACCTGAGAAAGACCGGGCCCCGTGCCCGTCCCACATCGCGGTAAAATGCCTTTGATCTCAATTGGGCGGAAAATCGGCCACAGCTGTGTGGGGGATATGGATGAAAGGCTGGGTTGTCTTCTATTGTTGTTGATTTTGTTGTTATGATTATTAATCGAAAAACAACATTGTCAAATTGTGCTTTTTATTCGCGTGAGCGAATAGTGATGCTAGCTTTTGGAGACGGAAAAACCACTGCAAATTGAAGGCTTAAGTTAACTTTGTGACCATTTCTTCAATATTATTGAAATTCAGTATTTAAAGACGAATTAATTGTTCTTGAGATCTTTTTTTCACGCGATAGCGTCCGGGACTTGTTCTGGCAAGAGAATTAATCCAGATTAATATAACTGGTAAATATATATAAACTAAATAGCGACCCAACGGCCAACAAAACACAGCAATTCACACGTTTGTTTTCACATCTCGAAACTTGGTTTATGTCTTGGATCAAAATCGTCATCGCAAAATATTGAGTTTGTTTTTAACTTTGACTTGCAGAATCTCTCTTAAATCCAGCTGCTTGCTCACTTAATACCAAATGTTCCCGGTGTGACATGGTTTTAGGTTTATGTCATCAATGTCCGGCTTGCAGTCTGGGGTATATGTTGCAACTTGTCTGTTTTAAAAATTATCTCTCATATTTGACGGCCTTGGATGCTAATTGAGAGTGACAGGCTGACGGGGGAAGGTCGCCCGTTTCGCCCCCGATGCTCGTCTCGGAGTTACGGTCAGACGCCATGGGCTGGTCCCCCGGTACATCGAAACCAGGGCAGGCTAAAAATATCATTCAAAACACCAACACTTCGAGTAAACAAAATCAACATCGGCCAAAAAATGTTGCCTGTAAATTGCTATGATTGAGAGTCGTCTGTTTTTGTTTTTGTCAGTATTATTTTTAGCGAAATGCAAGTAGTTCAGGAGTTAATTCTGTTCATTTAATCGCGGACACGCGCCGAATACATTACCATTTTGACCTTGTTGAAGTGTGCACTCGTTGCTGCTTTTATGGGTGTTTTTTTTTCGTTTCATCGTTACGATCGCTGGAATGAGCGAGTTAGGTATTCCAACTGCAGCGACTGCGCATGTGCACATTAAAATTTGCCGATTTTTCTATCGGGATAAAAATATCATCGTATGCGTGCAAAAGCATAGCGTGTTACGAGCAAAATTGAAGAGATCATCGTGTTCTGAAGCACATGTATAACATTTTCTAAAAAAAAAAATCCTTAGAACAGCGAAGTGTTTTAGGTGGCTTGTGTGTCAAAACTTAAGTGCGAACGAAAGTTCATCTCTTTTCGACTGCGCGAACCATTTGCACAGAATGCAGATTTGGTTACCACGTCCCCCGCACCCTTGTGTGCATTTATCCTGAAAACAGTTTTCTTTTCAGAAGCTGACTCTGTTTTCCGAAAACATGTCGGTTTTCTTGGCTAATTTAGTAAACAGTTTACCTTGATCATTACAAAGAATACGTGTGTGCTATTTTCATTTGTAAGAAAATGTTACAATAAGCGCCCTCTTCCGTTATGAGTGTACGAAACAAAGTGTAATACATATTCTTTCTTGTTTCCTCAGTAAACGTAAATGTAAAAACTGGCTTTTCGATTCCCAAATATCAGCCAGCAAAATGTATGTATCGTGTGATTCATAAAGTGGGGGGGGGGGGCTCCGT